GGAACAGTTTTTTTATTTGTTAAATTTTTTTAAAAGTCTGGATTTCAGTACCGCTTTTTTTATCAGTACTTTAGCTTATAAATCATATCTTCGAATAAAATGACATTTTTTTAAACCGATCAACCATTTCATACAGAAGTTATCTATACCCCGTCTCTTATTACTTCAATAAAAATACTCCAACTTCAGAGAAGACATTAGCTCTCAATTAATACACAAACTAATCTAAATAAATGAATTTGAATGCATCAGTGAGAAAGGAATTCTCAGATACAAAGCCTATTGTTCATTGTAGCAGTTAATCCTAATATTCTAGTAGGAAGAGATTCTGATTGAGACTTTGATTGACGTGCATGACCACGACTCTGTGAGTGATTTTTTAAATTTTCATTAAGACTCATGTTTAATAATATTTCTTTTGGACACTAGTAAATCCCTTTAAAGATAATGACTAGGTTGTAAGCCTTTTCTTCAGAATTTTTAATTTAAAGTGTGTAGTAGGTATACTATTCAACCAACTCTAACTAGTGGCAGCTAGTGTGAATAAATTAAAACGTAAAGAACAATACCTATGAAATCTGGGAACGCGCATACGTGATGAATGTATGAAATGCATTATTTGTTCTGCTTTTTTTTATTAAAGTTCTCGACGACTTTTATGACGGAAATGTACCACTGTGTATTAAATGGAAATCAAGTCTAAATGAAATGGATCTAGGCAGTGGTCTTAAAATGATGGCCTGAGAATCAGTTTCATTTATGCAAATACGGAGTTACGGATATTTAAAGAATAAATATTTGAAATCTGAGTATATGTTATTTAAATTGCGTCTAAAAATGAGAATGAATAACGAACAAGAAACCCTATACACTTAATTAATATGTAGTATAATATAAACGTTACTCAAAGACTTGATACAGATTTGATTAACTTTTATTCGTACTTTCCAAAAAATAAGTACATTAAGTTACGAATTTTTCCATTAAGATTTATCGCTTTGTTTTGGAATGCAGTGAATAGCTTTTTTCACACTTGAAAATTTATATCGAAAGGACCCTGGTTGACCAATCAGCCTCTGGAATTCATGATGGTGATAATTTCCAGCAAGATTTATCCAAGGCTGCAAACTTTGTCAGAAACGATACTCCATCAAATATCAGTCTGTAGTACTAAATAAAGAAGTTTATAATTATTTGCATACAAACGGATGTATTTTATGTGCCAAAGGAAAGTCTAATGAATAAGAAGAGACGAGATTGTCAATTATCTTCTAGTTTTGTCCTACTTCGAAAATTTTCTTAATTTGTTCATTTATAATATAAATTAATGTAAATTTTTCCGCCATTATTTAAACATATTAAAATTATTTGAAGAACATATTATTCTTAAATATTAATATTTAGCTCTCAATATGCTTGATTTACCAAGTGTAACCAAAAATATTTCTTGCGTGTTTCAAACTTAAAATTTCAGATAGTAAATAAAATAAATTTGATTTCCCTTGTATTATTATTATTATATTTTTATGTACGCAATGTAAATATTAGAAGCGAAATTTAACGTAGTTAGCCCACAGCGGCGAGCGGTAAAGTGCGGCATGGTGTCGGTCCGATGTTCGAATCCCGCGAACGGGTGGCTGTCATGGCGTTTTCGGGGTTTCCATGTGTAACGTGATACGAGCAAGTTTTCCTTAGAAAGTCCTCCACGAAGGCATCCTTCCCCTTAGGCAGATAGCCCTCGAGGCTTTGCCATAATCACACACACACTTTAAAATGTAGTTAAAATATTTTTTTATTTTGTTTATGAAAACTTTTCAATCTGCTTAAATTAAATACAAATTAATTGTTGCTTAAAGAAGACAAATTCTAGCCTGCTAGCTGTTTCCAAATTGTGCATTCTACTATGCAATTTGAACGCTAAGAAAATCAATTTCGTTTGTTTTTGAAAAGTTGGGGACTGTATTTTTCTAATAAATATTTTTACTTTTGAACAAGCCGTTCCTATGCCTTCTAATTTTCGACCTACGTTTCTCTGCCAGGGTGAGTTTTCAGTTTTACGATTTATGCAAATAATGTAGAAACGAGTATTTAAGCTGAAGTCTGACTTACTTCAACAGGAGAGTGTGTTCTATCTTTCGTCCATGTTACTGCTATTAGTTTAAGACTGCTATTCTACGGCTACTTAATATATGCTTGCTTGGATACGTCGGGTATCCTTAATTAATGACCAACTTCGCGAGTTCGATTCTATGCGGCTTCGGCTGATTACTTTTATTTAGCTTAGGCTAATTTATATTTTATATTTTGAGTTAAACTCAAGAAGAGGCTTCTTGTACACCCAAGAAGGGCTATTTCTAAGTATATTTTGAGTTAGAAATAGAGGGTTATTTTAACCCTTTTTTGAAGTTGTTACTTACGCACAAGAATAGTCGCTACACACTTCTTCAGTATTCTAGCTTTTAATGAACTCTTTTCTAACTAGGATATTTAAAGGTTTACAGTTGGTTATACTAGCAATTATCACAACTTAGGCCTCGTTACGTAATAGAATTGACACAAACAACATTTCCATCAAAAAGAGTGATCTATAATATATAGGAAAAATGCCTTTTTGCTGTATACAGGGAATAAATCTATTCTCTAACCGTGGTTAAGAAAATCTCCTAAATCAACCTAACAATACCCTTTCATGTGTTTCAAATGTTTCCGTAAATATATTTTTATATATAGATAGTTTCAGAATGAAATATTATAAAATAAAAATTAAACAGAAATATTTTTTGTAAACATACTATATAAAAGAAAGAGACGCAAGTATAAAAGTAACATAATTGCGGTTAAAAGTAGCATAAATACGATTAAGTAGGAAGAAATCATTATATTACTTGGTTAAGTTAAATTAGCATTAAATTTAATAATTTTGATAGAAATATTATTATTCTTTACGAAAATTTATATTTAGTAATAATAATTCAATTTTATTTGACAAATAGTTATTTATCCTAAGTATTCGATGGCTAAAATATCTATCTAGTCGTCTCCTACGAAGAAAAATCATCATCTCAAAATTTTCTACTCTACGATGTACATAGGAGATGTACTTTAGGGATGTTGTCATGGATGTTTGTGGGGATGTAGGCGGACATTAAAACTGAGATGAATCTTTTTATACAAATAATGATTTTAATTAAACTCGTGTTATTTTAATTTTATGTGTGAAGAATTTTATTTGTAAGACTGTTATTATTATTGTGTTCGTTAAGGAAATTTAAATAGGTAATTGTTAATCAACTTTTATTTTCTGTCCTGGTATCAAAAGGTTAAAAGCTATTGTTGAAATTTATGCCATGCTTTCAGGGAGAAAATGTCTTTTATTCTACGCCAACGGAAGCTTGCTTTAGATATCTTTTTACTGAAGAAAAGAGTTAGCCTTTTACCATATTTCTTGAAAATAATGAACAATATGGAAACATATAGTTAAAACATGCTTTTTATTTATTAAAATATGATACAAATTACATTAAAATATCCATGCTTTTATTCAAAGCGGATAAGAAATGAAGAAAACCGTATTCTTAAATTTTTACAATAAAGTGAAAAATAAATATGTAAAAGTTCATTTTCGGAAAATTAATTGAGATCTGAAAATTTACACTAATGGATAACTAGCTTGAGAGGCAATGCCACACTGGTTATTCTTATTCCTCGACATTTTGATGTAGCCATTCTCACCCCAGGAGGTTCCCCAGCTGAAAAAGATGAAATGTGAAACTTAAAGCAATACAATCAAAGATTAACTGCCATAAATCATAAGAAATTTGATTAAGTTTAATACTTCAACTAATGTAAGATTTACAGTTTATATTAAAATTATTCATTTTCTTAATTTGATATGATTCAGTTTTACCATTAAACATTTTAGTGCAATATTATTTCAAGAATGTTAAAATTATGAATTCCTTCCTCATAAAATTACAAATTCCCTGAATCTTCATTGCTTAAATTGACAGCACATGTTAACACAATCAAGCTATTCAAAAAGCAAATTCTACTAAACGGGAGCTATGCGGCCTAGAACTCATTTTTTAATGCATGTATAAAAAAGGTTACGAACACTACAATATCGATTAGAATGACATCGAAGAAGCTAAAGAAATTTAAATTTCATTTTTAAGAGCAAATAAATTTGTCAGGTTGCAAAGCCTTTTTCTGTGTTACCTTACTGTCAGTTGAATCAGGTTCTTCTATGAACTCATAAAATTTTTTATTTCGGTTCTAGAGTACATCTCACATGCACACCTTGTAGAGACATTAGGTATTTTGGGAGCCGGAGAGATAAAAAATGAGCAAACCGCCTTCGCCGGGAATCGAACCACGCACCTCTGAAATACCGGCTCAGTGTGCTCACCACTACACCACGAAGGCACGCTAGGAAAGTGGGAGAAATATTTCATATACTCCCCTTTTTAAAGGGCGACTGGGGTTTTCAGGGGACCCAAACGCCAAATCCTGTGTGTGGAGAAACCTAATTTAACACCCTTTTAATTCGGGCGCCACTGTAGAGATATTAGGTATTTTGTAAGCCGAAGAGATGAAAAATGAGCAGGTGGTTACCTTCGCAAGGAATCGAACCACGAACGTCTGATATACCGGCTCAGTGTGCTGACTCCTTCACCACGAAGGCACGCTAAGAAAGTGGGAGAAATACCTCATAACCTTTAGTTTAATTGAGTTAAAATATTGTTACCTTTAGACTGAAATATTATTTTATTACCACTGGTGTGTGGATCTACTGGCATGTGCACGGAAACGCGCCACAATGCTTTTCAACATGCAGTCAAAGGTTGTTTTTCAAAAATAATTAAAAGACTAAATATCAGCTTTCTTATGATTTATGTATTTTAATTTAGTAGATTATAACTTTATTAACACAGCAATATCAGTAAAATTGTAATACAAAATCAAATACTATGAATTACTTTAGTAACAGCTATTATTAAAAAATGAAATAAAAGTTCTGTTTTCAAATAATTTAATTACATGATCCAGGATCACAGAAATGATAACGCGAACAAAATCATGTGATTCAAATATTTAGAATGTTGCTAAAGTATATTTTAATTGGATTTATGAAATTTATGTTGGCAAATGAAAAGTTTCCAATCCCGTTTCTGTTCTGCATGGGTCATGTGATTTCAGTCGCAATAAGATGTTGACATACAAGCAGTTTTATCGAATTCAATTGTTTCATCATTCACCCGAAAGCCAGATGTGAAGTATTTTTTAACATGCTCACACGCTTATATTTTTTACGTGTTATGAAAGAAGTTATCGAATGTACCAGCTATTGCTTCGACTGTTAAATTTCATGATTAGTAAGAAACAAAATTAAGTAATTACTTCAATGACAACGTTTTAAGGATTTTATTTCAGTATTTATTAGAATGATTTATCACTTTTTATTCAAAAGATTTTTCCGGGGGTTTTAACTTACCTGTTCTTCACCAACCAGTAATCAGTTCCGTCTTCAGTACCATATCCGACGGCTAAGACTCCGTGGTCAAGAGTCTGAGTGCAGCAGTCTGGTTCATCATATATGCCGCCACTAAAGAAAAATTAGAAAGTTTATGTAATAAATTATATTAAATCCATTAGAAAGTTATTAAAATACTTCTAAAGAAAACAATTAGTTTTTTCGTATTTATTTTTAAATTTTAGATTAAAGGATTTCTGAGTATCAGTCAATTAATTTCACTGCTCACCTCAGCAGTGTATGGATAAGATTGCTCTGTATCAACGCCACCGTTTTTCTTGATGTACTCAAATCCTTGATCCATAAAACCTCCTTCACAGCCCATGTTACCTGAAACATTCATTTCAATTACATAAAATTTATTTAAATAATAAATGCATAATACATGTATATATTTTATGATAAATAAAGTATTTTAATGTCTTGCTTTTGATGAAATAGAAAACTGCATTTCCGAAGATGGAAAAAGTTATAGGATAGGAACTGAAAATGAAACGTATCATAATAGTAATAGACTTTTGCAACAAGTTGTCTAAATTATTCTACATGTAATTCGTCAAATTTACTCACATGAGGTTAAAAATATATAAAAATGTAGGCTTTTCAATATTGCTTGAACACATTTCTTTTAGTATAAAGCAAATAATTAAAATTACATAATTTAAAATACGCTTATGTAGTATTTTAAAATATGTAATTTTAATTATTTGATTTTTGCAAGTAAAACGCTTGAGAGAAGTTACAACATCGTGCTTTTGCTGATGTTAAAATTTTCTTAAATATTTAAGTTTGTTCGCTTTCATAAATATATATTGTGACAATTTGCATATTATACTTCGAACATATACATTATACTTCGAACTTAGTCACGAGCTCGTTCTCTCAGAACATTATGCAGATTTGGGGAGAGCTTAAGGGTTTAAGCAGTTAACTGGAACCGATAGCCTACCTGGATTGGTGAAACTGAAGATCTCCAGCCGATGTCTGGTCATACATGCAACAGATCATAAAGATAAAACCACTGGAAGCAGTGGCGTTGAATATTCATGTTGCAGTAAGTAAGTAACGATGAGAAAAAGTTCCTATCCAAATCGGTAAGCTAACGATTTTATAACTAACTTAATGAAAAATTAGGGGATTATGGTTCTTCGTAGGATTATCTTTGAACAGGGAGTTTTAGTTCCATCAAGTAGACTGTTTACTTTATATTTTTGTTTGTAATGCTCAAACAGTAAGACGCATTAAAGTCTTAATATTAAACTTTATTAACTCTTTGTCTGCCTGCAACTATTCCTTCCATCTCGATAACTCAAAGGATGTTAGTGGCACTTTGCAAATGGATTCCATAGAGCTAGCCGTATTGGCTACATTAAGACAAATATCTTAAAGCAAATCCACTACTTAAGTGCCATAACGTAATATAACTTATTTGAGCAGAAATATAATAAATGTTACTCAAAAAGTGCAAAGTATGTACCTTCAGGTCTGGAGCAATCCATAAGATTCTGTTCGCTCAAGGAAACAAGTTTCCCAGTTTTCTTTTTATGCTGTCCTTCTAGCGATCCAGTTGTTGAGAAAGCCCAGCAAGATCCGCATTGACCCTATATTTAAATAATTTTTAATAATTTTAAGTATAAGCGCTTTCATTTAAGGCTCAAAGTGCAAACGCTCTGAGAAATCATAATATCTAACATCACTTTTAATGTGTTAAGTTTTACCTGGTTTTTGACTCCTGTGACAAGGTTTTGTTGCCTCCAGTCCACTGTGTCTGGTAAATCAATGTTAGAAGGAGGAATAAATGCAGTAGTGGATTTGTTCAGTTTCGCTCCTTTGAAACCATTCAAGGTTTTAACAAATTCATCATGGCTCTGTAAAGAACAAAAAGAAGTTTGTAATTTTTTTTAGTAGCCTGTATTTGCAATAAAGAAATCATTTGTCAGATTAAAGCTTTATTGCCCTTTTTACGAAGTAAAAGTAGTATTATAATCGCGAAAATCTTTGGGTATAATATTTCAACAGAAATATCCATTTTGACCAATTCCCAGTCAATTTGGACGATTTTTTTGCATAACATCTGTACGTGCGGTTAGAATAAAGGACAGTGTTTTCTAAAACGCTTTGTAAAATGGATTTAAAGTGATTCAAAAGAGATTTTTATTTGTGCCATTCGTATACGTACATACGTTTGTACGTACGTATGCAAAACTCAAAAAGATTAGCAGTAAAACTTCAAAATTTTATCCGTGGAACTTTTTTTCTAATTGTGCATACTCTGCATCTCCATTTTTTTACTTCAATCGGCAGAACCAAACGCGTATGTTTATTTGACACATAATGAAATCTAACTTTTGATGCGGTCTCCTGGTTCCTATACTTATATTTGGGAAAGTTGTATACTCGTTATAAAAAAAAAAAAAAAAAAAAAAAAAAAAAAGACGAAGTTTGACTTCTAGACGACAAAAATTAACTTGTTTGAAAAATATTTGAAATAGTATTGAACTTCAAAACTTGCAACTTTTGATGTCCTTTTCAACTTGCCTCGGCAGATCGGTCAACTTGCCCGGCAGATCGGTTAGATTAATTCTAGAAAATATGTTTAAATGAAGTGGAAAAAAGTGCATAATTTAATAGACTGTATAAGTAAGCTATGTTGTGTTCCTATCATTATGTCTATTAGCATTTTTATTTTAAATTCAAAAACAAATAAATTAAATTAAAGTTCTTAAAATTTTTACAATATTGTTTACACAGAAAATTTTTTAAATTTATTCTGATGGTTAGAAGCTATTATAATTTATTTTATACGGTGAATGAAATGAATTCTGAATTAAAGATGTCATTCCCAAAGTAATGCTTATGCGGGAAATATAACTTCCATATAATGATCGAAAAAAAGGAAATGTTTTGGCAAATTTAAGCTTCATGCAACTCACAGTCAAGAGGAAAATGAAATATTTGTCCCGTTGCTTTGGTAATGAGGTATCAATACTTCTTGCATACAAAATCTGCGAGACACCAAACATCAATATATCAAGTTAATATACTATGTTTGTTTTAAATTACTGACCGCATACAAGTACTTAACACAGAACGAGGAATAAGAATATACCCATCTTAGACCTGTTGAAAGAGAAAAAAGGTGAAGACTCGCATGACAATTTTTTTCATACTTAAAAAAGTATTCATTTATGACAATACATGTAATAAATTGCATTATGTTTTGGAATCTTATTGACGTAATATTTCTATTCTTATATGAATCATCATATATTTACGATCTTCCGGAAGTTAATATATACATATTATCGTATATATAGTATAATCGTCATATATACATAAAAGTAATTTAAACATGAAATGAACTGGTGGAAAATTAAATTTTTGTATATAATATTGTCTAGATATGTAAATAGGTAAGTAAATAGAGTAAAGCCTTTATTATAGTTTCCCATACGGAAATAGTACACACACATTACTTGTTTCCTCCTATTTTCAGACTTGTTACAGAATTTAGAAATATTTGTCTATTTCTAATCTAGAATCAGGTCTTCATGCTGGTACTGTATAAGAAACTGATTAATATAACATATTGTGAAGTAGGTTGCGCGGTTCATAGTAAAGCATAAAGCTGTTAGCATAGCTGTTACAATGCTATACTTGAAATTTCTCGATTTCTTCAAATTATTTTTATTATTTTTGCTATGGTAGGAGAAAAAATTACGAGGTGTTTATAATGAACTGACAGTACCCAGAGTTATGTAAAGACTATTCTAATCAACCGATTCAAATGAAATTTGATACGCCTGCTATTCAGATATATGGATAATATTTACGAAGAAAATTTTGCGCCAAATTTTGCAATCAGTTAGGTTTGTTCAGTTAAAACCACATGCAAACAGGAAGAAACGATGTTAAAAGACTCTTGAAATAGCATGTTCCTCCGGTGTTACAGCAAAGTTAATGTTGGAACACAAACGCAACGTTTCTTAATAAACTGCTACATGTATACTTTTAATTTTTTCCATCCGACAAAACACTATAGTGGTTAGTAGTTCTGACTGCCCTACCGAAGGGCGTAAGTTAAAATCCTGGAGAAGGCATGAATGCTCGTAAATGAATAGTGTCTAAGTGGAATGGAGGGCACTCAGTATATAAACCGAGTCGAGAGTCCTCTCGAGTGGTTTGGAAAATAGTGAAAGAGATGTGGGAGACCCATATCCCGGAGGCATAATTCAAAAATGCCTATCAGTATTGCCACCGAGGGAGGGGTTTTAAAAAATGGACCGATGAATTCTATATCTTCTGTGACGCTGAATCTTGAGAGAGTGTATACCAGTGCATGGTTTTGTTTACATTTTCTTTTGTAATTTTTTTCGGCGTTATAAATGTATGGAGCATAAATGCTGCTACCATTTTAGTAGAAAATCTCGTAGTGCTTTCATTTTATAAGTTTACTTAATCATCAACATTTCACTTTCGCGAATAGCAGTAATTTATATATATTATGAATTATCTGATTATACCTATTGTTAGCATTATACGTTATGTATGAATAAATTAAAAATATTCGTTGATAATAAGATAAATTCGTTCTGTTTGAAATGTATTTCTTGTGCAGACAATATATTTAAGATTGAACAGTTATTATTGGGAAATTTAACTCACTGTGCATTGAGTGTTATTATGGAACATGTAGACTTCAATAAAAAATGCTAAGTCTTCTGCTATTTATATATGTAATTATGCTTAATTTGATTTGATATTCGCACTGAAAATTTTCATAAATTCATGATGCATTATTTTTTACAAGAAATTACGAGGCAAAACATTTCCAACCATCTTGCTTAGACCGCCGTAAGGTTCATGCGAAATAAGAGAAATATTATTGTAAACCCATTGGTTCACTGCAGAAGCCACTCAATCGGTGTTATATCCTTTAAGGTAAATGCATGTTTATTACTTATTTATCAATACTAAAATGATATTATTAGACATTTTAATTTGCGTGTTGACATTTCGAGTAATGAGTATATTAAATTAATAAAAATTAAAATGACTCTGATTTGAATTTCCAATTTGATCTGACTAAGAGCTAAAAGTTATTTTTGGAAGAAAAGAGAATAAAGCTGCTATAAATTGCAATTCTTTTTAACAAAACAATCCTCATTTTTCAGATTTCGATATTCTGGTATTGGATTCCTTTTCAACTTTAACTAGTAAAAATAAGGCTATTACAGGAAATGTCATCTACAGAAATTTCAGTTCAGAATTCCTGGGGCCTTAAATAAATTTAATGCTAATTTTGCTACTCTGCTTTGCACCATCTTCTCATATTGCGTGAATAAAAGTTTTAGAATTTGCGAATCGTACTCACCATGTCAGCAAATTCATTGAGTCCCTTTCTGTATTTGTGAATTCCGAGATCGAATTCTAGATTGTGTTTCACGATGTCATTTACATGGTCTTCAAAGATGAGTCTTCTTGCTCCTTCCTCGCGTCCGCTATACTGTTTCTGATATATCCTCTGGAAAAAAAAAATAAAAAAATAAAACCCTTTTACCTGAAACTTAATTTGCACGTTATTGAAAATAATAATGCACTAAAAACGTTAAGTTTACATTTATTTTTAAAGGTTTTAATTCTTCTTGTCTTTTTCCTCCTCGAAAATTGCTTCAGAAATTCTTATTTTTGCGTCCGCCTAATACTTGAAAATACTTTTTTTGAAGCTTTATTTCACTCAGGGTGTTTTACTATGGTTGGAATTTTGTCATCTATTTTTAACCTACTTCCTGATAAGCTATGAAATCAAATTTTGTACGTAGTGAAAGTTTTGTTTCCAAAATTTCTTTTAGATATTTTTATTTAATGTTTAAACAATTTTAGTACATATCTTCGTTTAACGAAAGAACTAAGCATATCAGAATTTTATTATTTATATCAGTGAATTCAGTCTTTGATTTTAAAAGTTCTACATCTAAATAAGTTTCGGATATACAGTTTGATATTGTGAGGAATAAAACGTTGTGCCTGTAAAAAATAAAATATAATAATTTAATTGAATTGCCAAATATATAAAGTATTATCTTTATTAATTTTATGTTAATTTAATATTATCAAATGCATAAGACTTTATCTCTTTAAATTTGTCATGAAGGTCTTCCTTTTTATTATTCGTGACTTGAAATTGTAGATGAATTCTGTAAATAGAATTATATATTATTCCCTTTAAACTATATAATTGGCTATTTTTCTTCTTTTAGTGCATCAATTTTCCTATGCGTTTTTAATAAAAGCTTACTCTATAAGTCTTTTATGATTGCATTTTATTTTATAATAAGAAAAATACATTTTTTCAATTTATCTTTATCTAGCTAATATATCTATAATGCTGGAATAACTGCAAATTTTTTAATTCTTTAATAATAATAACATTATTTAAATAACGAAAAGAAATGTGAAAACATAAGTCTCCTGCAAATTCAGTTATCAATGTTTTTTGGCAATTATTTCTATTAAAATGAATTCATTTCAACAATATAATATCCAAAGCTTATGAATAAAAGTTATTTACCTTAAAGTTTTCCCAGTGAGTATCCAGTTCAGGATCAAATACTGTAGCTGCCTTCACGCTGTGCAGAACAACGATAGCAAGAATAGCAAAGTAAGTACTGGCACTGCCATCTGAAAATGTTAAATTATTGTAAATTTTGTCAAATGTATTTAAGCTTCTTAAATCGTGTACATATTTAATTGTATATGTCAAGAAATAGTATTCCTTTCACTTGAAATTACGTTACCTGTACGATAATAATAATTTTCTTACTGCGATAAGGAAAGTCTGCAAGAATTATTAGCTATTACAAAATTCAGTTTTTATCGAATACCGATTTGTAACTTTAAACTTACATGTAGCATATTTAAATAGCGTTTTTATGTAATCATTCAGGTATCCATGAAACCGAATTTAAACAGTGAAATCTTTATGTATCTTTATGAATATTAGCTATCTCTTAGCACCGAAATGCAGCTTTTCAAAATATTAATAAGTAATATTAAAATAGTTAGCTGTCAATAAGTTCTGCTAGTTTTCAGTCGCATACTGCGTTTTAATTTTAATGCGAAAATTTTATGTGCAGCTATTAGTTGCCTTGCATTACCTTAAATCAACTAAATTTCGATAACTGTGATAGTAAATATTGCATGGCATTGGAGACTGATCTGTAGTATAGTAAAAAAAATTATATTATATTTCAAATTCACAAAAACTGTATTATTTAGGTTTATTAAACTGGTGTAACAATAAATAAGAAGTTTGTACAATGTCGATTCAACTGTATTAGATTTACTGTTCGATAGTTTCATTTTTCAAACAGCTTACCTAGGAAAGGATAAATTAAATAACCTAAAATTAGCCTATATTTGCTAATTCAAGAAATAACCTTGTTTTTGCATTTCTGAATTTATCTCGAAAGATACTTTTTTTAATGAAATTTAAGACGTAAAACGCATTTTTCATATTTAGGTCAAAATTAGACTGACTTCCAAATATTACATAATTTAAAACCATTTCACAAATATTAATTTTATTTACAATAAAACTACAAAAGCAATGAAAAAACACATTTCTGCCAAAGCAAAAAAGTTATTTTTTTTAAATGTACTGTGAAAAGTCAAATTAAATATTAAAAGTTTTCAGATATAATTTTTTTACTTACTTTCATTTGATTCAACAACGCCAACAAGATTTATTTAACACTCGTTTAACTTATAAGGATATGCCAGTGATGATAAACTGACAAATGTGAGAGTATATATAGGATTCAAAATCGCACATGTCACGCATATTTTGTCACGCATATTTTGGTATCAGGATGTCACACTGAAAATGTTATCTTGAAGTAAAGTATTACCATTGTGCATTATCTATCATATACTTTAAACTACTATCTAAGTTTCGATTTGATCCTTATTTATGACATAATTCGTTAGTCACGTGAATATTCTTCGACTGGAATATCTTCTGGCGTTTATCAACTGTTCGAAATACGATAATTTGAACCGTTTTGTGAAGTACTAAAAATTATCTCAGGTTTTTTTTTTTTTTTTTTTTTTTTTTTTTGGTAAAAGCTAACTTATAAATATTAATCATTATAAAAATAATACCTCTATTTGTTTATATACATATTTGTATAAAAATCAAAGAGCACCATTTACTCTCTAGTTTTTTATTAGTAATTGTTTCTCAAAGTCTTCTGTGCAACTTTGAAGAAACTTATATGAATTGATGTACTTCTTGCACACAAAAAAAGGGAAACAGTTCTATATCTGCCATTTTACTGAGCCGATTGACGAAATTTAACTTGCTTTTTTCTGTCTCGAAAACACAACTGAATATATATATTAGATTTATATACAGCATTGTTCTAACACAGGTATTCTGACACAAAATCGTACTTTTTCTGAAATGACATAACTTATTTCTATATTTCGATTCTCAAATTATGCTTTAATATTAAATTTTGTAAAATTTGATGAGAAACTTAAATTTTTTTAATAAAAAAAAAAAATTAAAAAAAACCAAAAATTAATATTAAACCGATTAAAATTAATTTAAATTAAAAAAATTTTAATTTTTAATTTTGTTTTCTTTAAAAATTTTTTACAGTTTGCGCAAAGAATTGTTCACTTAGCGAAATTTATGGTAACCAATTTTCCTTTCACAGTGCACGAGTGAAATGAAAGGTGCATTATTCATTCTTTCAAATAATTTTAACAAAGTGCATAAACCATATTGTTACGAATTTGTATTTAAAAAGCTAATGTTAGTTCAATTATAAATTAAACGGTTTCATTTCCCGCGCAGTGCAGCGCGTGACGAATATTAAAAGGAGAAAGCTTAGCCGGAAAATTAAAAATACAAGAGCACGTGCATTTAACATTAAATAAATAAATATTTCTTTTTGATTTCGAGAAAGTACCAGAAAATTCTCGCACGCGATTTAAAAATCTTATAAAAGGAGGAAAACCTCTCAGTTCGGAGTTGTTGCTTAGTTTGTTGTTGTTTAGAAAACTGCTCCTGCTGATTGTAGCGAATTCGCGGATTAGCTTTCTTTAGCTGTTTTGAATTACGTTCTATTGGACATTTGAGTAGTTAAAAGATAACTACTGTGAGATATTGTAATACTGCATGATAATTTGAGAAAATTTAAGCATTTTTGTTTTGATAATAATAAATTTTTGTTCATTTTTCATTGGACTTGTCCATTCATTTCGTAACGAACCCGTACGCACGCAACAATATTTTGCTGCCAAATTTTAGAGCACGCCAGTATATATATATATATATATATCGGAAATTTTGAATAAAAAATTCTAATTTTTTGCAGGTATGCCTAGAAATGCATCTATTTTAAGATGGTGGCAAAAGTTTTATAGGCAATTTTTCAAAATGGTTTTTGAAAAATTTATAAAAATTGCTAAAAATAACAAATTTTAATAAAAAATAGGAAAAAAGCTGCGAATTGTATTTAGATTGAACCTCAATTTCTAACTGTTAAAGAAGGAATATAGTAAATTGAAAAAAAAAAAAAAAAAAAAAAAAAAAAGGATATTGATAAATATCTACCATATTGAATTAACATTCAGGAGATAAAATTTTAGGATCTAATTTTTTAAAAACTACTTGTACGATTTTAACAAAAATTAGAAATTTGGCTCAATTTAAGTCGTAGAATCGAAATTATGTCATCTCTTCTCTGCCAAGATGCCTATGTTAGGAAAATGCCATATATAAATCTAATATAAGTCTCGCTTTCGAGACATGAAAATTTCGTCAATCGACCCAGTAGAACGGGAGATATAGAAGTGTCCCATTTTATTTTTGTGCGAGGTCTGCATCATTCTTAAATAACTCGCTGTATATATTCTTTTTATTAAGCGAATAGAAAAATACTCTTATTTATAAATATTTTTTTCACCATTAAATTATCTTTAGTAAACCGATATTTTGTGCTAATGCAAATTAACTGTTTTTAAATTCCATTTTATTTCAAATTTAAAAGTTTTTAACATTCATTTAGTTTTAAAGAATGATTTTTAAAATATTCATTAATGAAATGTTTTATTTATCTTGACCGTATCTAATTAATTAAAACAAAATTTTTGTTGTCGATAAAAAGAAATGCACATCAGTGTTCTAAATCTTTACAATGGGAAATCAAGAAATGTTTCAGAATATACTTGCATGTTTTTTAGCTTTTAATACATTAAATTTACTAATGATAACATAATACAGATTCTGAGGAAAATATTCAAACACATTTATGTTATTAGAAGAAGAGTTAATTGAATCCTTGGTCATACTACTAATCGATTGTAACCCCGTAGAAATAATTAATATAAGGTTTGATTTGGTTTATTTGATTATGTTAAAGCACTCAAAGGCTATCTGCCTAAAGGGAGGGACTCCTTCGTAGAGGAATTCTAATGGAAACTGCCTGGCATACACGCTACACATTCTTGAACATCAAGAAACGAGATACCAGAATAGCTACATTTAGTAAACTACAAATGTAGTTAGTCCATATTAAACTAGTTCTTACTTTCAGAAGCTGCTGTCGAAGAAAAGGAATCTTGCCTAATTACTATTCGAAAGGAACTGATCATTTTCATTTCAAAACAGCTCCAGACTCCAATTTGTTATTCTTAATGAGACTGTAAATTAAACAATGCTTCAGTTAGCTGAAGGTTTACTAAACAAGTTATAAACTAGCTAAAATTATAAACGCTAACTATCCAGGTTTGCTAAAATAGATTTATCACATATGGGTGTTGTTCGCAAATGAACGCAAGGTAGGTTAATTTTAGATTAATGTTAACCGATTAAAGCAAAGCAACTCGAAAGTTACCTGTCTATGGCAGAGTTTCTTAAACTGTGGCTCTCTACACCAGTTGAGGGTCGCGGGAACTGCAGCAGGAGGTCACCAAAAATCATAGCAATTTTCATATTTTTTAACTTATTATAATATTTTTGAAATTACCAAATATTTATCTGAAAATAGATAACGATTAAACAATACAAACAAGAAAAAACGAAAACGTTTTTATTTTTTATAAATAGAAAATCTCATTTCACATTAAAAATTAAAGTTAATGACCTAAAACTACAATAGTATATTACAGTACAAGTGAAGAAACTGATAGTTTCGCTCTACACACACGTGTATCGGTTTTCCTCAGTTCTTATGGGGATCCCACAAAATTTTCATAAATATTAGCGGGTTCTCACATCAGAAAGTTTAGGAAACCCTGGTTTATGGGAAGAGATGTCCTCGTAAAAGATTTATTAAAAACTAGCTCGTATGTAAATTACGCACGGAGAAACCGAGTAAACTGAGTAAGATTAATTAGGTTACGGCACAACATTCTAGATATGTCCTTCTAAAAGAAAGAATGCCTCTTTCAAGACTTTCTAATGGAAATCGACTTGTATCAACTTTACACATGACACAATCCAAGAAAATGCCCACACAGTGAGACCGTTTGCTTAGAATTGAGCGCTGATCGAACGACCGATGTTTAGCGACATCACAGAACTTCATTCATAAAACTACTTTACATCTCGGTCGTTAGGAAGTTGGTTATTTTTAGTAGACTTGTTCATTTTCAATTTACACGTTAGAAGGCCCCCAAAATTTTGATGCATGGAATTTGAATACTAGTAATTAGCACTGTTCAGCGATTTTACAGTTCGGTCGGTGATGGGCCATACATTAGTGATAGAATCTTACTTGTTCAATAGTTTACTTCATGTAAAGCATAAAGAGTTTCTTATTGATTATTATTCATACTAGTCTTCATAATATTTATTTACGATATACTTCAAAGTACTGATTCACAGCACGCTAAAGCATGTAGCTCTTATTAACTAAAGTAGACAGTTCTTATTATTTATAGTACTACCAGCTTTATAGCACTTATTTATTTAATTGCTTATTTATGTATATATAGTTCAGTAATGAATTACAGTACACAAATATGGTAAATCGCATAATAATTAAGCAAAAAATTTCTTTTTTGACTATTTCTATGCTCAATTCACCTGTATAGCGGTGAATTCAGCATAAAACGGGCATACCTTTCGTCGGAGAAAAAGGTATATAAAAATAAAATGTACTATTGTCTCTGCAGATGGTTTGAGCTTCCTGTTCAAATGAAAAAAAGAAATGTAATTAGCACTCTATGGAAAATTCAGCTTCAGCTCAGTTAGGTTTCTGTCATTCTTCAACTTAATAATAGCAATCAAAATTGTAATTTGTGAAATTTAACAGAAATTGTTTTGAAATATGCAACTGTAGATGGGAGTTAAGTGTGCATACGCATTACAGATCTGGTTAATAATACACACAAAGCCTAAATTGTCAAATATAATGGTAACCATAAATCTACAGTGATTATATATTTACATATATAAAATCCATATGTCTGAAATAAACAATATTCGAATTTAAAACTTCACTGAATACGAAAATCTTCTGACTGAAGACTGTGATAAAAATATGCGTGAAAGCATGTATCACAATTTTATTTATCTTATTTCAAAGCAAATGGATGTGTACACAGCATTCTGTGCTTACTCTCATATTTTATCTATGATGATGAAACAATAACACAAGTTTAAGACAGATTAAAAAACTCGTGGTTTTCAGAGTTATTTTGTCTGATGACTTCTTG